AGAAAATAGTAAGAAATAAACTTTGGGTAAAAATATTAATGAAAGTTATAGATAACCTAAGGAAAAGGATACAGCAGATCAATTCCAAATTAACTGTTAAAATTTCCCTCATAGGTTTTCAGATTTATTAACCAAAAATGGCCTTTTGTTTTTTACCTAAGTAGCAAAGATTCTGATTTCCCCTCCTTTTTAGTAAAATGTATGAGAATATTTCAGTCTTATAAAATGACCTTTGTGTCATAGGTTTAGCTCGTGGATTTAATCTAAGAAGGTACCATGCTTGAGGAACAGACTGTGCCATGCAAAGCTCACAACCCCGAGGGGGGGATTTGGAAAACTACACAAACAATAACCACAGAGGCCAAGAAGCACGGCCTAAAAAGGGAAGGAGGCCTTGCTGGCTGTGGGCAGTGGAGCGGCTCCAGGAAGAAACAGCTCCAAAGCTGAACAGCCATATTTCTACTTGGAATTTCATTGTTTTGTTTTGTTTTGTTTTAGAATATAGAACTGGGAATACAATGCATTTCAGACTAGCTTCTGAATTCATATTTCTGGATCCCAAAGAGAATCCCAACCATAGGAAAGTAACATGCTGGCCCGATGTATAGCAGGGGCTTCACTTACTCATTCAGGTGCTGAAACCTTTCCTGCCAGTTAACAGCCCGAGTGACATTTCCAGTTTTATCAATCAGTTTTATTCCAAAAAATTCTAACATCATTTTATAAGCCAGGAGAAATCTTCTAATTGCTTCTTTTGTTTTTTTGAATTCCTAATTAAAAGAAAAAAGTCGACTGTAATGATTCAGTAGTTACCAGGCCAATAAAATAGCAATGTTATTTGGCCATCTAATAAAAAAAAAAAAAATGAGCTTGCATTACCTCAATTTCATACGTAGTTAGTTCTTTAGCATAAAAGTTCAAGCCTTGTTCTCTCAGGGGAAAAAGCCTATTTTTTAGAAAAATAATATTTGTATATTAATGTCTTCTGGAAAGCACACATGATTCAACAGGACATGGTTGAAGACAGAGGTTTGGAAACTGACCATTGAATGTAAGTGTGGTTGTGCTCCAGCTTCTCATAATCTCCTTTCCACTTATTTAGAACTTCTTCAATGTAAACACCTAAACAGTAAATATTCAGAAAATGAACCAGACATTGAAAACACTGTTGAAACATTTTAAGATTTAATCACTTAAGCTTTATATAAAAAGTTTTTAATTATTAATTAATAACAGCACTCACGAGCAAGGCCTTTAGAAGAGGAATTCCCTATGCCATATACTGAGTTACATAACAAGCCTAATTTTTTAAGACATGGCACCTCAAGTTGCAGAAGGTTCTATTGAATAGCCTTACTCTAAAGCAGAGGTTAGCCAACTATGGTCTGACATCTATTTTGTAAGTAAAGTTTTATTGGAACACAGCCATGCACCAATGAATGAAATTCATTTATGTATTTTACACCAGAACAGCAGACCTTAGTAGTTGCAGCAGAGACCGTATGACCCACACAAAGCTGAAAATATTTACTATCTGGCCCTTTACAGAAACAATTTACCAGACCCTGCCCTAAAGGGTCATATAGTTCTTTAAATACTGCATAGGATCAAATTGAAGTAAATCCCAATGAAAAAGAAAGAAAGGAGGGAGGAAGGGAAAGAGAAGAAAGAAGCAAGGAAGGGGAAGAATGAAAAATGAAAGAAAGCCCTGGTCAGTGTGGCTGAGCTGGATGGAGCATTGTCCCCAACAGCGAAAGGTGTCAGGTTCCATTCCTAATCAGGGCACAAACCCAGGTTTCGGGTTTGATCCCGTTGGGGTGCAACCAATCGATGTTCTCTCTCACATCGATATTTCTCCCCCCAATCCTCTCTCTATAAAATCAATAAAAACATATCCTCAGGTGAGGATTTTAAAAAAAAAGGNTCTCTCTCACATCGATATTTCTCCCCCCAATCCTCTCTCTATAAAATCAATAAAAACATATCCTCAGGTGAGGATTTAAAAAAAAAAGAAAAAAAAAGGAAAAAAAAAGAAAGTGCCTACCATATGTTGGGCCCATATTATTTATGGTGTATATCATCTGCCTTAATCTTCACAAAACTCTCCCAAATCAGTGTTATTATCTCTATTTTACTAAAGAGGAAATGGTGTGATTTGTTCAAAGTCACACACTCACTAATAAAAAAATAAATGTAGGAATAGAACATAGTTCTTTCTGGTTTCAAAAAGTAAGCCCTCTTTACCACATTCTACAGTTCCCCTATAAGAACTTATTATAACAAAATTCTCCTGCTTAAATCTGTCCAGGTCCTTTCAATAGACTATGTGGCCATTTAGTCAATTGTATAGAAAAAAAGCACAACAACGTAATATTTCTCTAAACATATCTCATTTTTGTTTCCTCCAGAAATCACCAGTTTTTAGTAGAGGACCACTCTCCAAAGGTTTGGTCACACTGTTGGCTTTATCAGCATGTTGAAACCATGTACCTCCACAATCTCCCATTTGTTTTCCTTTCCAACTGCCCCTCCTCCTATTTAATAAGTAAAATACATTCTTGCAGGCTTCTGCTTACTGTCAAGTGTGTGTGTGTGCACGCACATACTAGAGAGGAAAGTGTGTGAGTTGAGGTAATTGATATAATAAACTAGAATAACGTTCTATGTGACCTTAGCTAAAATTTCTGACCCCCACCTAATTTATGAGATTTCAAAATAAATGTTGTGGTAAAGATTACAAAAAAATGAATGCATTACTTAAAGTTACTGCTTTAAATTACTACCTGAAAAACAAATCCACTATTAGGAAATATAAAAAATAATTCAGCTAAATACTGTCATATCTCTGTGTTCAATGTTTTGTTTGTTTTGTTTTGTTTTGTTTAATCCTCACTTGAGGACATGCCTAGAGAGAAGGGAGGGAGGGAGGGAGAGAGGGGAAAAGAGGAAAAGNAGGACATGCCCAGAGAGAAGGGAGGGAGGGAGGGAGAGAGGGGAAGAGAGAAAAAGAGAGAGAGAGAGAGAAACATCAATAGGTTGCCTTTTGAATACTCCCTGACTGGGGATCAGACTTGCAACCCAGATGTGCCCTGACCGGGAATGGAACTGGCAACCTTCCAGTACACAGGATGACTCTCAACCAACTGAGCCACTCCAGCTGGGCCTGCGTTCAATGTTTTTAATACTGAAGGTATTTCTGTAGGTAAATTTTATTAAATTCAAGTCAGAGTCAAGTTAACAATTTATCATTGCATTTCTTCAAAAGTTTTCTTACCTGAAGTCCTAAAAAAATTACTAATAGTTTAACTGTTAAGTCCTAACTCCCAACTGGTGTGCTTCTCAGTGCACAGCCCAGGGAATTCCTCCTCCAAACACTCTTCCCAGATTTTAGATATCCTTCTTCCAGTTAGTTCATCAAAGAAGACAAGATCCTGCCCCTGGGAAGTTTTGCAGTCCATGACCCATGTTTCTGACTCACATTGCTGTGGTTTTGGCTCAGTTTCCACTGAGCGCCAAGGGCAAGAGCCAGGGCCATTGGTCTCATAGAGATAAGGGCTCTAAGGAGAGCAGCCAGCTTTGCTGGTTTGAGCTGGATAAAATTAGGAGCCCACCATGAATCATAGCACGGTGCCTCGGGAAATATGCATATTACCATAGAGGCTGCATCCCCTCATCACGATAGTTTAGAAAAGATCCCATGATGGCAAACGTAGAGTTGTGAAGGAGAGGCAAGTTTATTTGGCAGAGCTGCATAGAGAACTACTGTATGTGCAGTTCCCTTCCCAGGCAGGACACTGGAACACTGAACTAGGCCTGCTATAGCTCCTTGACTCCTGAATCTGGAAGTCTACAGGAAAGATAATTCTAATACAAACATCACTTTTCAATTATGTTCTAAATAATTTTCAGGTATGGCCCACTGGAAAGAACACTGAACTCTGGAACCTACACCCAACTCTACGAATGAGTGACCCAACAAGTCAGTCATTCAAGATTTAAGACCTAGTGATCTTATATTTAAAACGAGGAAGCTGAATTTGAGCTCTAATGTTCCTTAATAATCTAATTTTCTATGGCTTTAAAAATGTTCTCTCCTTTCCACTCACAATAACGACCCCGACTACCTTTTGGATAGCAGCAACTGGAAACAGAGGATGGAAGGTTTTGCTAATCCTCAGTGATTCCTTCAGAAGCTGCCAAGTGGATGCTCACAACTCGAGGGTCTAGGACTTTGGGGACACATCAGACCGCATAGCAACGTGAACCCAGGTGATGAACACATGCGCTGAGAATTTCATTAGTATTATTTCAATTAGTAAATAAAGCAGTAATTAGTAAATATTATTAGTAGTAAATTAGTAATATATATTAATTTAGCAAATTAGTAAATATTATTTCAATTAGTAAATAAATTGACAATGGAATAAACAAGGAATAACTAGGAGCCCTTATTATTTAGATTTTGCTTCTTACCAAGGCAGCAGATTACTCACCATCTGGCTTAAATGGAATTTTATTCTTATAAAAGCGAAGATTGCTCAAGTCATTTTGATATCGGATATCTTTGAAGTTCTGCTAAAGGAAAAAATTAATCAATCTCCAGCATATGGACATATACAAAAAAGCATAAAGAGCCTTTGTGCGTGTTTGCTGATTGGCACCACAAAATAAGAAAAACAGAAGAGAAATATTTTACATTCATTTTAGAAAAAGCAACAACATTCTATATCTTACTGGATACTGGTGTCGGTATTTGTACAAATCCCTCGCAGCGTAAAAACTCCTCTTTGGTTTGGCAGTTGCTTCAGTGGAATCAGCACCCTAAAATTAAAAGTGAACTTCCATTCACATGCTGAAGTAAGATAATTTTACAGAGAAATTTCCAGAACAAACTTAAAACAATGAGGCAATCTGTAAAGAAAGCCTAAAAAATGCCATGCTGTCCAGATTACTGAAAATATTATACATATCCTTTTAATAAGACTAACAACATTTGTTGGCATCCTATCTTCCTGATTTGAACACAATAACATTCGTCCTACGATGTTTTACTAAATAAAAAAACTTTATTATGCACCAGAAGTGAAGAGGCTAACTTTCATGGATTAATATCCATCAGAAACAGAACTCAAAATGAATTTAACACATATATTTTACCCTAGGTTACACAAGAGATTCTATGACAAAGCTTATTTTAGAATACTTTACATAATACTCAAAACTGTTAAGATAATATATATCAATTCTACATTGAAAATTGTCATTAATTTTGCAACATTTAGCTGCATTTGGAAATTAAGTAATATTTATGTAAGAAAAGGAGGCTTTTAAAACAAACTAAATAGCTTTCTAAACTCCACCCTTCACAGCACTGTATGTTCACAAAGGCAAAAATAATCTGTTAACTCAGTGATAATACAATGCAATATAAATTAACAAATTTAAAATATATTTGCACAGAAATAAAAAGCTCTCAAATGGAATGAACTTCACATTGTAATGACTTATATGTGGTAGTTTACTCATACTATTTATATTCTAAAGAAAATTCCCACCACCATAAAGTAAGTTCGAAAATATAAGATGTAGGTCAATGTAACTGATTTACATTCCATGTGTAAACGAAATGTAGTACTATAATGTATAAGAAAGTGCTTCGCATTCAGTGTCCCCCAGAAGGACAATGTGACTGATGACAATGATGAAATAGAAGACAAAATTTAGATCTCAACATTCAGCTTTGCCCTACCCCCATCTGTGTTGACAGACTAGCATCCTCTACGCAGTTTTTGCACATTTTTGAACTGGTGTGATTCTCACTTATTACTACAAGTACAGAGACACTTTAACACCACATTCTCCGATGTTTAACATGAGCTACTCTGCCATGTTACATAAGCAAGGAAAAGCTTAAATTCTGGCCCTTGCCACACGTTTCAAAATAGCTCTGCCTAGCAAGTTTCCGAATCTATTTAGCCTCAGCTACAACCATATGAATCATCATCCTACATTTGTATAGAAAGCACTTTTCCATTTACAAAGTGCTTACATGTATGTTATTTCATTTGATTCTTCTAAGGCACCTGGCTGGCAGTTATCAGTGTTTCCACCTTAGAAAGAAGGTAACCCAGACTTAGAGAAGTTGAACAAGACCCAGAGCCCAATGATAGCAGAGGAGCTAGAATCCCATGCTCTGGGATCCCAGTCCAACCAATTGGGTAGAAATCAGTCTCAACTCCACTAAAAGTAAAGGATCACTACAGAAACTGGTATAATGTCAGCAGCCCAAGACTTGGAAGCAGGAGACTTGGGCTGAGTCTCAGCTCCGCTGCTTACTTGTGAGGCCTTGAGCAAACCACTTAACTGAATCTTAGTTTTATTATTTGTGAAATGAAGGTAATGACTCATGCCCTATTTAATGCCCAGGATCATCATGAGCACAACTGCTTCCTCCAACTTCTAAATGTACCAACCTGCCAGCATCTCTCCCTGCTCCTCCAACTTCTGCTCCTTTTGCGCTCTCTATTCCATCCCTTTGCACCTGCTCAGACAAGGAATTTGTTCCTTAACATACTGTTTCTATTCCTGTATCATCAAAATTTTCCTCTTTTGGGGCCTGTTCCCCTCAGCTAACATGCTGTAGCATCTCTAATCTTAAACATACACAATCCTCCTTGCCCCTCCTCGGTTACAGATCCATAGCTCTGCTCCCTTTTATAGTAAAACATCATCAAAGAGTTGCTCATACTCCCTGTCTCCTCCTCTCCCATTCCCCCATGACCTACCCCAACCAGGCTTCCATCCTTAGCATTCCATCAAAACAGCACCGGTGAATGTCACTAACAAATTTCCACATTACCAAACAATTTCTCAGTGCTCAGCACAGGGGACCACCCCGCAGCACTGGGCCAGTTAATGCCTCCCTCCTTCCTGAAACACCCCCCCGGTTTTCTCCCTACCCCACTGTTTGCCCCTTGCCAGCCTCTCTTTGGCTCCTCCTTCCCTTCACATGTTCTACACTGAGGGGTGCCCAAGGCTTAGTCTTCACTCCCCATCACTCCCGATGACCTCCTTCCTTCCCATGACTTTAAATGCCTCTGGAGTCCTTATATACTAAGGAATCCAGTGGTTTCACTCACAGATATAATTAAGTACTCAACTTGGCCATCCAATAGAGTATCAAAACGCAAGAGAATTCTTGGTTTAACCTCTGAAGCTGCAATCTCCCTAGACTTCCCCATCAGAGTTAACGGCACCATCACTTGTCATATATTCACTTGGACTAGGATGTGGCAAAAAGTAGTCAGTCTGAGATACACCTTAAAGGTAGTTCCAGTAATACTTGCAAATGCATTGACTGTGTGGAGTAGGGAACAAATGGGGTTGGTAGTCAAAAAGCAAAATTAAAAAGTAGATTTTTTTTTTTTTAGAAGCTAGACAGTGATACAAACAAGGAAAAGTAATCATTAAAAGAAAAGAAGGGAAGCTGGTGTGGTCTACCATTTACTGGGGTTGCAATGAACCGACTGAAACATTAATTATCAAATCGGTTTATGCAGACAGACCTGGTTAGTGGGTTTGAATCTGAGCTGGTGTGTTTTGGTAAGCCAAACTTCTTTGGAAGGTTACTTAACTGGGAGATAAATGGAAGGGGAAAACATGGAATACAGCCTCTCCTACTTTCCTGGGGTTGAATTCGCAATGTGAAAACAACCCAGCAGCAAACCAGAACACAAGGGCTGACTTGCACAATTCCAACAGGTTCAAGATTCTGTCCTTGGCCATAGATATACTTGGGTTTGCACGGTTCTCTCTCTGGATGATCTTGAGCAACCGTCTCTCTAGGCCTCAGTTTTCTCTAAAATGAGGATTGAAACCAGCAACTCCCACCCCACCCCCAAAATTGCAGTTGATTGAAATAACTAGTTTAGCACAGAGCCTGCACCAAGACTTCAGGTTTCCTCCTGACCTAAACAGAGATGATCAACTAGCTGGAGGAGGCGGCCTCAGCTGTAATATTTAGGGGGTGGTTCCTCTGCTCCAGCAAAGCACCCCGAGGTCACATGTGACTTTGGGCTCCACTTCTTCACTCTCATGCTCCCACAGCTGATACAGAGGAGGGCCTAAGGCAGAACAGCAAACCAAAACCCCCACCATGCGCACTTCCTCAGAGGGCTGGCTAGACAGTTCCTCTTTTTGAAAGTTTTCTGAATTATTTTCAGTTCCATCAGGGGGTACAAGGGATATTTCTCTCTTTCCTAACCTATCCTCCAAATTGTATTAGGCAAATGATTTAAGCACAGTTGGATCAACAAGTCTTCTGGGGGAAATAAGATTTTTTTGAGTGCCCTGAACGCCTCGGATGAAAGGCCTTATTGGGGTGAAAACCTGGCGTTTTAACTTTGGATGGGGACCTTCCACACACTTTCAGAGCCTGTAGACCCCCCCGCCCCCCAGGGGAGAGTGCTCTCCACCGACCGACCGCAGTCCCACCTTGTTCTGGGTAATTTTTACCCTGAGCAGGCATTGGACCGGTTTCCACAACCCTCTATTTTTAGGCGGGTTCCTCCCACCCCACCTTCGCATCACCCAGCTGCGCCGCAGAGGCGAAGAAAACACCCCTGCAAGTTGGGTGCCGCCTGGAGGGACTTCCTCGCCCAGCCCGCGATCAGGCCCCGGGTGGGCAGCGATCGGCGGATCCGCAGGCCACGGGTCCGAGGGA